AGCCCAGCCACAAGAATACTACCCTTATTAGGCACACGCCGCACAAGCCCAGCCACAAGAATACTACCCTTATTAGGCACACGCCGCACATGGTACAAGTTTTAAACCACCTTTTTCCAATCCAATGCGTTAGTTATGTTGTGTGAATTACCAGTGTGTTTTTTTTTCTCGTTGTTGTTTGTGTGTTTGACGAAGCTTAAAACTTCGGGAGGTCAGCCAAATTTCCCCCTGCCCCCCTGTCCTCTCTTTGCCTGCCCCGCCTCCGCCCCCCTTTCCCTTTTTTCTTTCCCTTTTTGAAAGCTTGAAACTTGAAGATGAATACAGTTGCCAAATTGTTAAGTTGTTAACTATTAATTTATTGATAATAGGAGTTTTCGACCTGGTTTTCCAGAGCCTGAATGTAGCCCCGTAAGTGTGGAAGGGGAGAAAGAAGAAGTATCAGGGAGGGAAAAAGGGATGTAGCAGGGGATGGGGAGAAGATGGAAGAGAAAGCCGGATGCATACCTCACGAAGATTAGGATAACTGGTAGCAGAACCACAGCAATCCAAGGAACACCGATTGCAATCATGACCACCGTCCCCAGTGTCATAAAGACACACTGAACATGGAAGCCAGCATAGCACACCAACACATTTACAACAAAAGCGATCATCCACGTCACCTCTCTTATCCACTGGCACGATTACTAGTTATTGGTAACACCAAATTATAGATTGCCAATTTAGGAATGAGCACTGCATCTAGCAAGGACGGGAACATCATCATGAGCAGCACGAGGAGTACACGTACTACACGGTGGAAGAGGAGGAGGGGAAGGGGGAGGAGGAGGAGGAGGAGGAGGAAGCGAGAGGATGAGTACCATTAAGAACAAAAGAGAATAAAGAACAAGAGAAGAGAATGACAAAGAAGAAGAAGAAGAAGAAGAAGAAGAAGAAGAAGAAGAAGAAGAAGAAGAAGAAGAAGAAGTGGAATATGATAAAGCAGAGAAGAGAAGAGAAGAGAAGAGAAGAGAAGAGAAGAGAAGAGAAGAGAAAGAAGAAGATGCCAGCCACCTGGACTGCAGACGCCTCTGGGCAATACGACAACACAAACTGAGATTCTGTTCAGTCACCTTCAATGGACTATCTAGACACCACCAAGGCAGGCAATGCGGATGGTGTCGACAGTCAGTAGGTTGAACTGTGGTAAAGGAAGTGATTGCAGCATAAAAGAAAATGACTGAGCAAGGGTGATGAAACAAGATGCACATCAGAACTGCCGGGATTACCCTAGACATGACAAATTTAAATTGACTTTTGAGTTAATGTTACATGACGGAGGTTGGTTCGGGGTTTAGGGTTTAAGGGGTTTGGGGTTCAGGGTTCAGGGTTTAGGTACCCCCCCCCCCCCCCTAAATCCTAATCCTTAAACCTTAAACCCTAAACCCTAAACTCTACACCCTAATCCATAAACCCTAAACTCTACACCCTGATCCATAAACCCTAAACTCTAAACCCTAATCCTTACACACTAAACTCTCGAGTTTGTTCTATGAGGCGGCAATGTTTTGGCTGCTGTTCTTTGTCCGCAGAGTCATTTAATCGTCATCCAATAGTCATCTAATAGTCATCGAATAGCCACCTAATAGTCATCGAATAGCCACCTACTAGTCATCCAATTGTCATCACTAGTTATCCAATATTCATGACTCATGATCCAATACTCGTCCAATAGTCAGAATCCAATTGTCATCCAAATAGTCATCCACCAATAGTCGTCCTAGTAGTCATCCAATAGTCATCCAATAGCCATCCAATAGTCATTCAATATTGAATCCAGAGATGGTTTGGCAAATAGAGGAACAATAGCTCATCCTCTGGAAGTCTTTTTTCTTAATCAAGGCTTAAGACTTTAAAGGCTTTCAAATTTCCAAGGAAATAATTTCAGGCCGGAGACCTCCCAGTTCAACCCGGAACAGTATAGTGGCCACTACCCAGTTTTGTCTCTTGCTGGAAACCCGCGTCCGACGTTCCTTTCTTCAAAATACGTCTCCGAAAACCAACAAAAAAACGAAAAACGAAAAGAAGCAGGAAGCCTCTAGAACTCCTTCCGAAACCCTGGAACGTCGGGAGAGGGGGAAGTAGTTCTATAGAAACTACTGGATTAAAAATGAAGACGAAGAAGAGGAAAGGGAGAAAATACCTGGATAGCATTATACGAGGTCTGCGGTAGCATATCGTCAAGGATGCCCTGGATGAAGGAAGATCAGATCACAGCCATTCATCAGAGTGCAGCAAACATGTTAGCAAGGCATTGCAGTCTAAGACGTTTTGCCTTTTTTTTT